TTAACTATTCGGACCACATGAACTAGCCAGCGTAGCTGCTGTTTCTTGATGCACTGAGCAAATTCATATCAATGTCGCCGTAAATCGCGTACAGCTTATCGTTACATCAGCTGCGATATTCGACGTTTTCTACGGGCAGAGGACCATAAATCCTTCTCTCAAAAACTCTCCAGGTACACTAATCAGTTGCTGTCATCATCCGTGCCTTCGCAACATATAACAGAATGGTACTGATGAGCGACTAGTGGAATTTGGTTTTGGTTCATCCAGAGAGAGAGAACTTTACTTTTCAATTGCCCACTCAGTCCGAAGTAGCATCTGTTGGTAAGAGAGATTTCGCGCTGGATTTCAAGACTAACGTTATAACTGGTTTTAATACTAGTTCCTAGATAGACGAAATTATCTGAGACTTCAAGGATACGACGTGGAATACGAGTCGGGAATGCCATAACTATTCGTTGAATGGCAGGAGAGTTATTTCGTCTCGCCCTCGTTCCCTACCGGACAAATATTCTTCGCTTCCTTAACAAGGCTGGAGAGAGCAGAACTGGCAGTATGATTATTGTGGCCAATAGTGTCAATATCATCGACTTACGAAAGCAGCTGTATACTTTATAGAAGATTTTACCTTCTCTATTGCGCTCTGAGGCTTTAAATTTTTCTCCAGCAAAAAATTTAAGAAGTCAGACGATAAGGAATCATTCTATCTGAAGCCTCGTCTGATATCAAACAGCTCATCAGCCGTAGCTGTGCTGTGTGCTCGTGCTGTCGGAGCCTGTTTTAAAGTCGATGAAAAGCTGATGTGTATCGATTCCTCTTTCACGGGTCTTTTCCAAGATTTGGCGCATGGTGAATATCTGGCCAATGGTTGACTTACCAGCCACACTGATAACTTCCAATAAGTTTGCTGAGCACGGGCTTTAGTCTTTCATACAATACGCTCGATTGGCCCTTAAATGTGGACAGATTATACTACAAAATTATAGAAAAAATCAGGCAGTGAATTTCGGTGTACATTTCTGTTATGAAGAAGAAGTCTCCTCCCAAAATTCATTCTTTCGTGGCTTAAATGTGTAGATCCCTCAATTTGCTTGGGAAACTTTATATGGTGCAGCGATTTGCGAATCAGTTACCGTTAATGCTCGAAACAACCACCCTAATGTTAATCGCAGCAGCATTGCCAACACATGACTGCATATAACTAAGTATTATTCACTGTTATTGCTCAGCGGATTTCACATACGTATGTATTCAAAAGTACGTGCGTTCGACTTTAAATGTTTTAGGCAAATTCAAAATACAACCCTGCTATTTATTTTTTATTATTATTTTTTTTTAATTTTATTTTTTTTGTTTTGTTTTTTTCTGCTCAATAAAAATGTTAATACTAAACATTTTGACAAAAAGTAGAAATTTCAATATTAAGCGCTCAATTCATGTATGTATATTAACATACACACAGGTTAACATGTACGAAGTATGTATGTGTGTGTGCTGAAAGTGATGCGTGGAATTCCAATTCAAATTCAATGGGGTATTTTGAATTTTTATCCTTTGCAATTTGCGTTAATGTTGTGGAAAAGTGGTGTTGTGGTTACAGTCAGATAGACAATCAGTCGGTGAGCGAGTCGATGACGCTAACGACAACAATAACGGCGATTTCACTCGCAAATGGCACGCAATCACACACACGCGGACACACACACAGCATGCGCACACATGAGTTTAACCTCAAATCTTAGTTACAAGCAGAAATTTTCATTTGAATACACACCCACACCCACGTATATATATACACAACCATGCGCATGTGTATTTGCTTTTATACAGCTACCAAAGCCTTCATTGCCCATCCTCCACCACGTTCTGTTGTTGCTGTTTTGCACATCTCACTAATGGGCTTTTTATACCGGCAAGTGCATTTCAAATCAAAATCGTCTAAAACGAATTTTAACCCTTTTTAGAAATGCGCTCAACGCAGACGTGCACGACGCGACTTAATGGCCGACAGGTAGCAAATACCGCAGACAGAGGGGGATGTTCTTATGGTTTGCTGCTGGCGCCGCGTGATCGCAACTGCAAATTGATGAAATAACGAGTTTTTGCAACAGCGAAGAGAAGCAATCGAGTCTGAGGCTTGACGCTAAGCTTCACTTAAAGCGATTTAGTACAATTAAAAAGAGCTTAAGTCGGCGGCGATCTAAAGTGCATACTACTCCATTTCAAACTACAACCTCCACGGAAAAAATGCAGATCGAAAGTCTTTCTCTGCTGGTACTCTCCAAATAAGAGTGGAAACAGATCGGAAGATTAACTCCAAAGACTTTCACTTCCCTATTAATGAGAGAACAGACATTGATAGCGAAATCATTGGAAGTGACATATGTAGAATCGCGTAAGCGGGGTCTATGCCAGTAGAGTTAAACGGAGAACGTATATTGCAAAGCTGGTAACATTTAAAAACACATTTTTACAAGACTTCTGAAAGTCTGAAAATCGATTCTTTGGTTTTTACTGCTGCTCTAGCTGGTCAACCCTTGGAGCTAGAGCTCTGTTGAGAGCCCGTTTACCGATGCTAGAGACTAAACCCTAGTGACGGAGTTCAGTTCTTGGTACAATTTTCATCCCAACTACTACTCCAACTTGTGGTATTCGTCCAGAGGACCTAATCGTCTGATGAATTTTTATGAGGAATTATTTTTTAATTCATGTCAGAAATACACGTGGGGCGAACACAATTAGAAAAATAGTTTTATATAATTTTTGGCTGTTGGTCTAGCCTGAATTTGAACCTAGTAGTACATACTGCCGAGCACTCGGCTATCACGGTCACCTTAAGAGTTTGGTATCATAAGTTTTCGATTACTTTTTCTATTACGAAACCTAAGCAGAATGTGAAGTTCTTACGGCCGGAGGGACTTTTATTACCATCTTGTTGGTAACACGATAGAGTAGCCAGACTTCTATTCCTTGCAACGACACCAACTAAAGGTCAGTGCATTGAGCGTCTGTCGACGCGACAACCCGTTTCATGAACAATTCACACTTGTTTAGTATCGGACGGTTCGGTGAGATCCTTCCTAACCGCAACGTAGTTTTTAGTCTTGCTCTTCGCCAGTTTAAACAGACGGATAAGTTTTCCTGTGACACCAAATTCAGACATAGCAACTCCTCTTCATTCTATCGAAGCGTTCTTTAAAAACGGAAAAGAGATTTTTTGTGTCGATCGTCTTTTCGCGGGTATTTCGAGATTTACTCGGTGAGAAAAGGTGTTCAACAAACAAGGAGGTAAAGCAGGAGATGAAAAAATGGACTCGGAGTCATTTCATTCCACATCCATTAGACTCTCTACCTCCCCTAATAAGGGTGATCCATTTCGAGGTTCCCTACTTTTTAAAGAAAAAGACACGGAATATTCAAATTTAATGGGGAATGTTTATTATCATTCGAAAGAACATTCTTTGTTATTAATTTTTAAAGATAATATCTTCCAACTGTTGACCGTTGTTACATCTCGGTTGGTCCATCCGTTGAGTCCAATTTTCGATAATTCATTCGAGCATTTTCACTGGTAAAAAGCCTAAAGGTGACCAATCGACCGGCCGAATACGTGAAAATATCTGCTCACCGAAGTGTTCTCTTATTAAATCCATAGATTGATATGATGTGTGGGCAGTGTCGCCGTCTTGTTGAAACCAAATGTCGCCGAGATCACGAGCTTCCATTTCATGCATCCAATAGTTGGTTATTATCGTGCGATAACGGTCGCAATTGACGGTAACGTTGTCACCGGCATCATTTTTGAAGAAATATGGGGCGATGATTCCACCAGCTCTTTAACACAAATGTGGAAATTTGCTTGTTGTTGATCCAGAAATCGGACTCATCGCTGAACAAAATTTGGCTCGGAAATATTGCATCTTCTTGGAACTTTTCAAGAACCCATAGGGCGAAGCGTGCTGCTTGGCAAGGTCGAACAGCTTCAGTTCTTGCACAAGCTTTTTGTTGTGCACTTTCGATTTAAGATCTCGACGTAAAATTCGCCCAGTTGTTCCATTCGTCAGTCCAAAGTGTTGCGATTCTCCACAGTTTTCCTTTACACCCTCAGCAGGTGTCCTTACATTTTCTTCATTGCATGCTGGACCTGGTACATTTGGCGAGCATTATCCAATAATGAATGCTGGATATCAAAATGGGTGATGGTGTTGCGAAAAGTACGCTCAGTAGAGCGATTATGTTTACAATTAGTGAAGAGACTTACGGTTTATACAAAGACGCTCCTGTGTGATGGTTTTTAAGGAAAAATTAAATTAATTTTCTATAACCTTTTGAATTGGTCGAAACCTGGCAGTCTCGGCTGTCTTTCCAAATAAAATATCTGTTGTTTTATCATCGCGCGCTTTCCGAAAGGTATTAAGAGCAACACGAAGCTCTCTGACCAGAGGAAAATCAATCATCATCTAAATCATATTGTCATTCATCTGCCATGAAGAAAAGTAGTTTAGTTCCAAAATTTAATGGAATTGAGAAGATGGAAAAGAAGATTTGAACGAAGAAAATTGTCTTATTTTTATTCGAATACTTTCGCTTTATATGAGACCAGTTCTAGACTATTGAGTGAGTAAGCCAACAAGCCATAAATAGATGATTCCTCTCATATACACATATTTATTACATATGGGCTCAACTTTGTCCCGATGGCCAAAGGTATGAACTGAGATCCGTATTTTTTTTAACTTGTTGCTACTAATTTATTTTATTTTCCATTTGTTTTTTTTTTTTCAATTTGATGTGCAGTAGCTTAAAATAATAATTTTAATTTTTCTTCATCAATTTTTTTGATTTTATTATTTTACTTATTTTTTTGAAATTTTGGAGTTCTTAACCTCATTTTAATTGTTGACTGTATTTAACTAAGCATATAATCATAGAAATTCACCACGTTTTCCTCTCTTTCTCTCTCTCTGTTATGCTACACACACACACGTGTTTACTTACAGCTGGCCGCAATTATGAAATGGCGACTAGCGGTGATATATCGATGATCTCACCACCATCGTCTTCCATTTCGAACGGCCAGGATCCATTCGGACAATTGCCGCCGCTACCACCGCCACTGCGTTCAACACAAGTGCTTCAACCGCTAACGGTGTTTCCAGGTGTGATACAAGAATATATTCGAATTGAAAAAACAAAAAATAAAAATATCTTCATCCTCAAGATCGAATATCCATCAACTAATTGAATGAAAATGTTCCCGCTTGGATATTTGAGCATGAAAATGATATTTTGTTGTGTTTAATTCTCTTAAGTTCTTTTTTGCTAGTTTATTGCAGTGTTTTGCTTTTTTTTAGATAGCGTTACTTTTTTAGAGCATTTTGTTTTTGTTCGCTTTTTAAGGCTTTTTTGCCGCACTCGTAATTGACTTAAATTTTATTTAGTTTCTGGCAATGCATATTTTATATTGATTTGTTTTTTTTTTTAATTCAAATTCTTTTTGACTTTTTTGGCAGCGTTGAGTTTGCGCCGATTTTATGTAGTATTTCCTTGCTCCTTTCTTTCTTGGTAGTATTTTCTTTTTGTTGTTACCTATATATGTATAATATATTAGCCGTTTATTTCGTTTCTTTGCTAATTGGTGTTGCATTACGCTTCTGTGTGTATTCATTTTGACATTCATGAAATTGCGTACACAATTATTGGTAAAACAGAATACACATTCGTACACGAATTACCAATATCCTTAATACATATGTATGCTTTTTAATTATTTTTTCTAATCTAATTGCACAACTAAATATTTTTGTGATAATTATTTGAGGTTAAAAAGAATATTAAATATGTTAATATTAATATCAGATTATAAATCGTATGGAAATGAGTCGGTTCCATTGAACGGTTTAATAGCACATTTTTGTTGAATTTTTTTTATCTAATTGGTATTACAAAGAATGTCAAAAAAATCCTTATTGAGTATCATCAAAGTAAACATATTAATTTTTTTAATTATATAATTAACCTAAATATTTACTTACTTTTATATATGGGTCACTTCATCGCATCTCAAAGCCTTTCACGAAAATTTTAATATAAACTTCCCGAGGTAAGCTAAAAACACCATTCGGATCTCGTAGTAAAAAAAAAGTAAAACGTTTTTGTCCAATATATCGGTCTCTAGTCTAGATCTCGTACAGGAAAATAGTCTTCCTGCTAATCTAAGAAAAAAACAAGAATTTCAAGCGAATCGCCTTATTGGACCCACTTTTCCTACAAACCTTTTCAGGGAAACCACAGAAACTAATTAACAACTTTCTAGTATAATCTGCTGCATAGTTTCTGAGATCACAGACCTACCTACAACATACGAAGAGTTTTTGCATATACAAATTTCTTCATTATGTGTACGTAAATATTTGAGGTGTTTTTTATTCATTAAACATTTTTTTTATTAAAAATTGTATTTAGAATGCGAGTAAATATTACTTCGCTAATGGTTTGCGTTAAATTTCAAAATATATTCAGTTCTCTACTGCGTCATTTGATTGAAGGAATTTGAGGTTAGCTTCAGCGATACCAAAAGAAAACAACATCGCTGTTCTCTTAGTCAATTGATGTAGGTATTTTGGTGCTTTGTCCAATGGCTACCCGAAGATAGTGTAATTTATTCTCTCAAACCGAGATCATTCACTGTCTGGAAAACAAATATCGCATGGCACTGTCTCACCCCTTATCTGCGCCTATATTTTTATGATCTCTTAACAGAGTGCCACCATTTTTACTGATATATCCAGTCTTAATGTCTTTCTGTTTACTGGTCGTGTCCAATTTAGAGTTGTCTCTAAAAAAATGTACAGGAACATACCTGCAAACGTGTTAAAACTACTCGTTTAGAAGAGTTTCTTTGCACGTTTTGTGATATGTCAGTGAATCCACTCCTTTTGTTAACGACGTAGAAGGATACGTCCCTATTGGCAATCAACTCGGAGAACCAATTTTAAAATGCCTCTCTTGAGGTCAACTTATCACCAATAAGCGCGTTCGCCATGTACAGGAAAAGATAGTAATTACTTGGTGCCAGATTCGGACTATAAGGTAGGTGCATTAGGACCTCCCATTTGAGCTTCTGGAGCTTTTGGCTCGTCACCAAAGACGTGTGTGGCCTGGCGTTGTCCTGGTGGAACACAATTCGGCCTCTGTGGATCAAAGATGACCTCTTCTGGTTGAGTGCTGCCTTCAAGTGGTCCATTTGTTGGCAGTAGAGGTCCGAATTGAGCGTTTGGCCATAGGGGAGCAGCTCGTAGTAGATGATTCCTTGCCAATCACACCAAACATGCAGCAAAACCTGGTGCATCTTTGACATCGAAATTACCGGAACGGAACCTAGCAACCCACTTTTGAGCTACACGTTCGTTTACAGCCGCTTTGGCAGGTTTTTCGCCTTGATCGAAGAAAAATTTTAAAATTCTCTTTGTTGGTGTCCATCTTTGACGAGCGCTCACAACGTACTGAGTCAACCAATCGAAAACCTGTCAAAAACAAAATTGTAGTGCTAATAAACACGTTTTCGGTGCGGTATAGTATGACATGATCCGACACGTATCTCCATCTCCATCTCTTAGAGAAAAATCGAATGAACTTTTTAGTTGACCAATATTTAATTACTTTCTTTATTCCACTAATATTTTTTTATTGCCATAACTAAATAGTAATTGAATAATTACTGAACTTTAAATATTTTATGAAAATTTCGAGACAAGAAAATAAAAAAAAATAATTAATTTTTAAACAAAAATATTTATCAAAAAAAATTATATTTTTTACTGAAGAACTTCGTTGAAGGCCTAAGTTTAAAAAATAATAATTATAATATCGAATATATAGAGGCATTAATATATATATTACCTGCACAATCATAATATTATTTTTATTTATTGCAATAACAAAACAGTACACTCTCTTTTTAATCCATTGACACACTCACATACCCAAAAAGATGTTCATTTATTTCATGAGATCAATTTATATTATTTTTGAATAGACCAGATTTTTTTCATATACACAGGTCAGCTCATATGTATGTACAGCATAGATTTTGGTTTGCCATTTTTAATCCATACATGCATACATACATACTTGTTTCAATATTCTCCAATTTTACACCAGTGAAGTTCACTTTCAAATGAGATCTTTCATGAAACATTCCCCGCCATCGAAAAAAAATGGCATGAAAGAAAGAAAGTTAATTTTTTGTACTGTTATTTGTATTTATGTAAGTAAGTAGAAACAATTGTTTGCACAAACTCAAGCACTTATCTATAAAACATCACCAAATTAATGTTTTTGCCTATTTTTGAAAAACGTTTTGAGTCAAGCTGTACTCGTGCTCAAAAAAAAAAAAATCTTTATATGTTCTATTCTACAAATCGTTTTCTGCTTGTGAATTCGCTAAAAAAAAGAGCTGTACAAGTATTTTTGTGCTTTTTTCTAAATGTTGAATTCATTTGTTCTTCCCTACCATTTTAAATTTCAAACATCTACATGTCTGTTGTAAAAGTATAAAATTAAAAAGAAAGTCTGTTTGCAGATATGCTTCAAACAAATGCTAACCACAAATCAAATTACTCGTTCTCTATTTCTTTTATGCGACATTTTTTCTACGCGATGATTAAACTCGAAAAAAAATTAAATAAAAAAACTAAAATAATTAAAATGAACAAACATGATTTATTACAAAACAAACAAAAACATATGAAAAAAAACAAACGCTAAATTATGAAAACAACAAAATTTATAACAATTATTTGTATTATAAAAAAAAAATATTTATTAAAAAAATATATTTATTTGTTGTCGTGTGGCTTTATCGTTCATTATATTTTGTAGAGTAAGTATAAATGCTGTTGATTTTTAATTTTATATATATTGACTATTTTTAACCAAATTAATTATTCTCGTTTTCTTATTTTGCCTTAAATGCATTCTTTTGTTGAGCTCTTTTATTTGCTTATTGTTTAAATATAATGCAAAGAAAAATGTGCTACAAATTATATGTATGTATATTCCGAAACATTCACATTCGTCACATATAGTGTCAAATTTGAGCGAAGACTCTTACGATTATGTTTTTGGTGGTCGACGTAAGACCCCGCCTGCTACAAGAACAACAACTGCACTCAAGCTGACCTCGCCTCCAGTACGCCTGCGACCAGAAGGTGAGCACCTGGGGAATATAAGAACTAATTTGGAATATAAATAAAGCAAAAATGGAGAGGTGTTCACTGAAAAAATAATAATATTAAAAAAAAACAAAAGGTGTAGAATTAAACAAAATAAAATATAATAAATGAGAAAATAAATTAAATAAATAAAACTAAACTAAATTGAATATAATTAAATTAAGCAAAATGAACAAATAAAATTAAATAAAAAAATTAAAAAAAAGGAATGAAATAATATAAAGAAAATCAAAATAAAGTAAAATAAAATAAACATATAAAGTTAATTAATATAAATAAACCATGATAAAATATAAAACAAAATACCAAAATATGACTAAACAAAATTAAAATTAAATTAAATTAAAACATATTGAATTGAATTATTAAAGCAACATAAAAAAATGGAACTAAGAAAAACTAAATAAGATAAAATGAAATGAAATGACATAAAAACTAAATTAAATTAAATAAAGTACAACAAAAAAAAACAACAAAAATAAGTAAATAATTTTTTTAAAAATAAATATATAAAATAATTAAAATAAAATAATATAAAATAACACACAAAAAATTAATTACAACAATAAACAAATTAAAATAAATGAATTTAAAAAAAAATAAAATAAATTAAAATGACATAAATTAAAAAAAAAATTAAAAAATAAAATAAAATAAAATAACTTAAAATAAAATAGAAGAAAAAATTTTACAAAGTAAAAGCAACATACGTGTATAATATAATAGAATAAATAATAAATAAATGAAACAAACATAAAATAAAATGTATCAAAATAAATGTGAAGGCAAATGCACTAAAAAATTTAATTTGAGTAAATAATAAAATTCAATAAAATTTAAAAAATCATGTAAATTAAAAAAATGAAATCAAATTAAATTATTTAAATTAAAAAGCAAATAAATTAAATAAAATAAAATTATTAAAATATAAAAAATTAATAAAAATATTGTTAATTTACATAAATCTAATTAAATAAAGTGACTAAAATAAAATAAAAAAAGATAAATTAAAATATCATGATCTAAAGCGAAGAAATAAAATAAACAAAAAAAAAATAAAAAAATACAATAAAATAGATTAAAATAAAATAAAAAGGAAAATCAAATAAAACAAATAAATTAAATGAAAGAAAAATAAATACATTATATGAAACAAGAAAAAAATAATTTAAAAGTATAAACAACAATATAACGTAAATGATATTAAATTAATATGAAATAAATTAAATAAATCAAGCGAAACAAAATTAAGTAATATTAAATAAAAAATAAATTGAATTGTTTAAGTAAAATGAATGAAGTATGATAACTTAAAAAATAAAAAATGATTTTAAGTAAAATAAAATAATATAAGATTAGCTTAAATACAGTGAATTTAAATAAAATTAAATATTAATATTATCATAAAATAAAACAAATAAAATAAATATAAACTTTATAAAAAAAATTTTAATTAAACAATTAACCTACAATAAATAAAAAAATTCAATGGATGGTAATAAAAAATTAAATTTAAGTATAAAAGAAAATAATATAATAAAATTATTAAATTTAGAGCTAAAAAATTGATTTATTGTAAATACTTGATATATATATTAAATATTTAAAACAAGATAAATAAAATAAAAACAAATAAATAAATATAGAAGAAAGCAAAGTAAAGATGTAATACAATATGTAGAAAAACAAAAGGTAAATACAAATAAAATAAAATATATAAAATTGAAATAAAATTAATATATATTTAATAAATCAAGATTAGATTAAATAAAATAATATAAAATTTATTGAATCAATTTAAATTTAAAAAAAAATTAAATTAAATATATTAATATGATATTGAGTAATATAACATTGAAAACCAATATATAATTTATAGAATTTTCGATACTAATTCTAAAACATACATTTGCAAGTGAATACCTTTCATTAATCTAATGCATTCAAGTTAAATTAAATTAGTTACACCTTATCTAAGCACATATAAACAACACATAAATCACATTTAATCATACTTCACATATCATTTTAACATTAAATATGTATATCCTCCTCACCTATGGTTTACACAAATATTTATATAACTTTACCACACTCTGCCTTCATTCACAGACGCTCACTACCGTGGTGGCAATGTAAATAATGGTGGCCGTTTTTATCGTCATTCCTTTAGTTACGCGCCAAAACGCACACGACACGGCAACAACAGCGAACGCAATGAAAATCGTGAATCACGACTGAGATGTCATGGCGAAGATGAAGCAACACTGCGCCAATTGCTTCTCGAGTATGTAGAATGATGCTATGCATATTTATATCTCTATTATTTATTAGTATGTATGTATGTATGTATGTTATGCTATATACATATGTATGCATATCACATGTAGTGTCACACTCAACTCAGCCTCAGATTCTCACATTATTCATGCTCTTGTTTACTTATTTATGGTCATTCATGTATTTATTTGCTGAAAGTTCACGTGAAATATTTTTATCAGAATATCATCATTATCATCAGCATCATCATCATCACTGGCTTTTATCTGACATGCGAACAATTTTTTATTTTCACTTCATCGCTGTATATAATAGATATTCGTCATAATATCTTTATATGTTTATTTATTATTTATATTTAGTATATTTTTTTTGAGGTGCGAGCGAAATTTGTCTTCAAAGTTATAAAAATTAATTTAACATTTTTTTTAGTCAAACGTGTTTCTGGGTTTTAAGAAGAAAGGATCTATTAAGGTACTGGAATATGCCAATTTTTTAACAACATCTCTTAGACCCCTTTCAAAAAGTCATTCGTTGTCAAAGTGAGGTTAGAATTGATTTCCTAAATTGGCCTTTCAGTCTATAAATAATCTCTTTCACTCTAAAGCGCCAAAAATGTTAAGGGTTGATACATATATACAAATTTAACGCTTCATAATAGCTGAAGCAATTTTTGGACGAGCTTCCCTTTTAATTTTCGGTACGCCTCTTGATGTTTCCCAACAAACGAAAGGCCTATGAATTCTTATGAGGAGATTTTTATTCATTTCAGATAAACACTTGGATTGCTTGGCATGACCTGCAATTATCTAGAAAAATTGGTTTCCTAGAATTTTGAATGTTTCTCAAAGCAGACCTCGAACGCTCGACCTCTTCAGAAAGGCGGTACGCAATGCCGACCAGCCACTCGGTTATTACGACCGTCGCTGGATCGGTGGTTTAGCTTTCAGATATGTTGGGATTCATTCTTGGCATAAGGTTTTATTCCACAAAAAAAAAAGAAAAAAAAAAAAGAGAGTGAATGGGAAGAACGTAAATCGCGTTCCAATATGATTAGGGTCAGAACAATAATAGCGAGGCCGCTCCAAAACATATAACTGGGTACAACGTAGGTTCCTTGGCTTGAGTTGTTGCTCAAGCGATTGCATTACTGCTCTTTCTATTCGCTGCATACCGTAATCGACCTCTCGGTGAGAGCGTGAGAGGGAGTCTTTAACTAAAATAACCAGCGAGAAAGCTATCTAACGAGTACTCACTGCAAAATTCCCGTAATAGCTTCGCAAACTGAAACGCCAGTCAGTTCCTCTTTTCGTAACTCGACGGCGATTAGAGAAACCAAGTGAAGCCCGAATCTTCTCCGCTGAATGTTTTCATTGGTTTTGCTTCCTAAATATCCATTTTTAAATTAGAGATCTACGAAATTTTTTCAATTTTAATTCGGCTCAACTCAAAAGTGTGTCTGAATTTTATTATATTTTTCAATGGAAAAAGCTCTAATTAGCACTTAAAGTTTTTAATAATTTAAACTGAATTCTCTTCCTTTGGTCAATAGTTTATAGTGGAATTTATTGGATTTGAATGGTCAACGTAAATATAGTCAGCTGATAGCATTTCGTGTTGTTGTGATTTATTTGCACGTAACCGAAATGCAAATGCAATTACTTAACAGCATTTCACAAATGCCCCACACACACGTTATATGTATATACATATACTCATACTTATGTATGTATGTACAAACAATATTTGTGCGTGATTTGCACGCGCATTTGGCGCATTTGTATTCTAAATTATTTGGTTTATAATTAATTTATGCGACCAACTAAATACGACGGCCCATACGCTATTATTTACTTTTGGTTTTTCCATTGTGTAACCCAAAATAAACAAATAAATAAATTATTTATTTTTATTTAAATAAAGTAAAAAAAAAATATTAAAAATAAAATTGCTTCACCCAAAAATTCCTAATATATCTGAATGGCTTTTGTATTTGCATTATTTGCATTGTTTGGCGATTTGAACAATATTTGCGCCACTGATTAAAATTTGATAACATTGTCGTGATTAGTTTGGCATGGACAATGTTGACACTCGCCAATTAATGGCTGGAACAAATTGGCAGCAGCAACGAGCAATAATTAAAAATTTTTTTCGTCGCATTGCGCATAATCCCAGTCCAGTTGTGAAAAAAGGGAAAAGGAAAATTTATTTTCATGGCATATAAATTTATTGTGAATTTAAAAACTGATTTAGGCGAAAATTATGCATACATATATATTTTTTTTTTACGTGCAAATTTATGAAGAAGGAAGTGTTCTTGGAAAATAATATACAATAGTATCGTATGCAATGAATTTTTAAGCTTTAATATTTTTGTACAAAAAACAAATTCTTCGGAGTAAATGAATCTTCGAAGAGGAAATTTCTGGTAATATACTTATGTCTCTATCTTCACGATAAGTTCGGCATCTTCCTAATAGCTGTTGAAGCGGTCAACTCCCTTAAAAACTAAATTTCTCTCCGTGAACTAAAATCAATGTTAAAAATTGTTGAAGCTTTGGGCCTTGTCACCAAAGCCTGTAACGCTGCGTTTGAGGCATCATAACCTTTAATCTTCCGAAAAAAAAATATGATACCCAAATGCAGGAGGAAAGACATTTCTGAGCGTCGGAATAGTAGCCGAAAGTTATCAGCGAAACTAAGAAAATCGCATCTTTGTAATCCTATATACATTTTTATATATAATTAGCGCTTGGAAGCCGCTAAAGCCATTTTAGACCGAGCTCCATTTGTGATATGCATCTTGATGTTTTTAACGATCGTAATAGTCGAGAAGCTAGCATTGTGTACTGCCTCGGCCAACATTCTAAGCCATATAAAATTATTTTTTTATAATTTCAGTCGTCCCAGTCGTCCCTAGGGCATTTCTTACATGAAATATAAAACTGCTCTTAAAAATTCTCCATAGGCCGTACGAATGTGGCTTGTATTAAATTCTAGGTCCCGTTTGTTAGTAACCCTACAAGAAAATTATCAGGAAGCTAGAAGGAGAATTCTGGAAATTCTTCTGTACTGATGTACAAAGAAGCTTAGAATGAAACAGACTCGAGATAGTCCTTTCCAATAGCACTGCTATCCTGAGCTGAATCCACAAGTTGAATGGACAAAAATTGTTTCAGTAAAAAGGTAAATACTTTAATGGGCATTTACTTCTTTAAGCGCTTCAAACAATATCATAATGGGCAATAAGATATTTTCAATCCTTCAAATCTACAGGCTTAGATGGCAAGTTAACCGCTGAATTACGATTAGCAGCATATGACCCGTCACCCTTATTGTGTAATATTTACTCTGGCAGTATTGCCATGATGCATATCTCTACTGTGTAGAATTTGGCAAAAATACCATTCATACCAAATGGCGGAAGGACCAGTCATATTAATCCTAAAGATTTTATGTCTATCTGCCTTACATCTTTTCTATAAAAAAATCTTAGAAAAAATATATACGTCAAGAGATACTTCCGAACAGTCATGTCGGGTAACCAACATGCCACCTCTTGGGGTAAATCTGTCGACACCGCTCTTCACGATATCGTGACGAAGATAACGAAGCGTCTAACGCTCAAAAAGTTGACACTAAGCGTTTTCTTCGATATCGAGGGAGCTTGAAATAATGACTTACCCGAGGAAACCACTTCTGGGAATGAGACTTGGAGCGAACTTAGGGAAATTGATGAAATCTCTCTTAAGATACAGGATAATCTTCGCTGAATTAAGAGGCGCATCTAAAACTCGATTTAAAAAAGCATCGAGTTCACTCTTTCTACCGATGTCAAATACCTAGATATAACAACCTTAGTTATTAAGCTCACTTGAGAAGAGGTAAGGCACCAAAACTGCATGCTGTTTACTGGTTTTACAAAGCGGTAATAAGACGCAAATATTATTTTACGTAGTCCCTTTCTGGTGGCCAACACTGGACAAACCTTCGCACTGGTGGAAATTGGGCAAAGTTCAGAGGCCAGATTACATTTTCCTTACATGAGCCCTGTTTTCGACACCTTGAAATTCTTCTTAAATTTCTTCCAACAGACCTGTGTAGAATATTATAGGCGAGCAGCGACGTCGTATTGGTAAATGCAATTTAACCCTGGAGAAACTAAATAAGACACAATCGTACACTGAACTGTACACCACTCTCAGAAGACTTCTGTTTTTTCACTCTCTCCACAAAAAAATCTCCAAGAGAAATAAATGAGAAAAACGAAACTTTTCTGGTTCAAAAATCCGTATCCACCTTCACTGAATACTCAAAATCACTCTCACTCGAAACCATTTGCACTCAGTATAAGCAAGAGACGTCTTGTTATATGTATAATTTTACGTTTTTACCTGAAACGAAGTGCTGCTGTTAATATTAAATCGTTAACATACAATGTTAGATCCTTAACAGATAAGGTTCAATCGTTAACAGATAATGTTAAATGTTAAAATTGAGGAGTGCTATTAATAACATAGCAATCAGCCATTTTAAAATTAACATAAACGACGAATTTGTTCATTTTTAACATTTCGCGTCGATAATATGGCGTCGAAGCGAAACAAAATCATTTCGTTTGGTTAATTTTTCCTAATATAAATATTATTAAAAAATAAAAGACTAAATTGTATTGTTTCATTGATTGTGCATTTCTGAATTTTGTAATAATTGAAGCAACTGTTTGACAAAAATATTTTTCTTTATATTTATAAATTTATTTTTATAAATGAATTCTGATAATATATAAATATTTGTAATCAAGCGCAGATATTAGTTTGTAGCTTAAAAAAAAAAGAAATATAAAAAATTGTTTGGGTTTCCTTTAGTAATTGCAAACGTAAGAGAGCCTCCACAAGGCTATAGCTGCGGCCGTTTATGGTCAGAACCTTAATTTTTACTTCAATCAACCAAACAATCGATTAAACGACTTATAATTTTGTGCTCTTAAAATTGATAAAAATT